AAACCCCTAAACCCTAAACCTAGAGGCATTGTAGTAAGTAGTAGCAACGTTCCTTCTATGACACCCTGCAGTTGTCGCCGCAACAGAGTGGGTCGGAATATTTACTAATAGTATATACCCTTATAGGGTTTAGCGTTTAGGATTTAGGGTTTGGGGTTCCCTTCGTCATTCTACTATAACATGCTGCCCGAAACCCTATTTTAATTGTTAAGGCTCCATATTAGTACATCTCTCTGCTTTTTTCGCCTTGAGACTTGAGGTCGGTGGAGTTCGCCGATGGAGAGTTGCGGGGGCCTTCGTGTCAACACTCTTAGGGTTGAGGGTGTTTAGGGGTTTAGGGTTTAGGGTTCATAGGGTGCTGTAAAGTCTTTAGAGTCTGGGTTTCTAGGTTCCCCAGTAGTACCCTTTTGCCCTTTTTCTTTTTGGGGTTCATTTAGTGAAACCAAGTAGTCGGAAAAATGTACCCTACTGGGGAACCTAGGTTTTCAGGGTGCCGTAAGCCACACTCCACACCCCGAACCCGAGAAACCTTCAGCTCCCACAGATGCTTTACACTCAGGGTTTAGGGTTTAGGGTTTAGGGTTTAGGGTTTAGGGTTTAGTGTTTAGGGTCACCCTAAAAGTCCATGTGCCCAAATAGATGTACTTTGGCCTTAAAGTAGTCCCTAAATAGGTACTTTAGGGCCAATGTACATACTATTTGGGTACATGGACCCTTAGGGTTATCGTCGGCAAGGGCAGCCGATGAGCCCTAAACCCCAAGCCCCGAATCCTAAACACCAACGCCCCAATCCTACACCTTAATACAACATGCCTGCCCGCTGGGCTTGGAAGACGCTTCGTGCAGACGCCATTAAAAGGCCCTAAACCCTTAACCCTAAACCCTAAGCCCTTGAACCCTAAACCCTTAACCCTCAACCCTCAACCCTTAACCCTATAACAAAAGAAAGAGACCCTACGAATAGAAGCCCTAAGCCCTAGACCCTAAACCCTAAACCCTTAACCCCCCCCAAAAAAAAGGAGACCCTACGAATAGAAGCCCTGAAACCCCCTCGGTTTTTGTTGTGGGGTCCGGCTCTCAGGTTCATTTGTGAGCGTGACCAGCGGCGCGCCCGGGGTATTTGGGTCTGGAGCTTATACGGTTTCAGGCCTTGGGTGCAGGGTTTAGGGTTTAGGGTTCAGGGTTTAGGGTTTAGGGTATAGGGTTCAGGGTTTAGGGTTTAGGGTTCAGGGTTTAGGGTTGGGCTTAGAGTAGCGAAGGCCTTTAGCCTGTTTGCTTCGGTCGACCCGGTGTCGGGGAGTTGAGTCGGGCCTTTAGGTTGTTACAGGGTTTAGGGTTCAGGGTTTAGGCAGGGTTTAGGGTTCAGGGTTAGGGTAGATGTTAGGGTTTAGGGTTACAGGTTTTTCGGGGAGTTCAAGTCTTTTGGGGTAGCTCCTGCTTGTGAAACTCGAAGTCGACTAGCAGAGGGCTCATCCTTGGTAAGTGGGTTTAGTGGAAACATGTGGAGTGGGATCCAGGCACAGGGTTGGTTTCCAGGAGGGATACAAAACAAACCCCTAAACCCTAAACCCTTATCGGTCCTGACGTCCGGATCAGCATTGGTCGTGAAGCAGCTTGCCACTTCTTGGTGTAGCCGTGTCGCCAGGACAGGCTGGTGATTGTTCTTTTTTTGGTTGCGATCTGTTCCATCATTACCTGCCCACATCCTATCAAACTTTCCGGCTTCTCGGATTTTCAGCATGGCCAGTGGACTCCGTGAGGCCTTCGATGATGGCAGCGCGCGGCTGCCTGACGTCGAGTACTTCCCAGCTGTGCCGAGCTGAATCAACCCTAAACCCTAAATCCTAAACCCTAAACCCTAAACCCTAAATCATAAACCCTAATTAAACCCTAAACCATCCCTGAGCCCAGGACCCTGGAGACGGCGAAAGCGTAGACTCTCCACCTTAAATACGTGATCAACCTCCAGAGCCTAAGCCCTATCGTGCCCTATCGCATGGATCGGTTCACATTGATGGGTTTTCGGCTGTATGTTTTTGTTCTTCATCTTCGTTGTAGATATTCTGATCATTGTCGTTGTCGTCGTTGTTATTCTGCCGTTTGCCGCTGCTATTGCTGCTGCCGCCGCTCCCGCTCTTGCTCCTGCTCCTCCCGCTCCTGCTGCTCCTGCTGCTCCTGCTGCTGCTGTTGTTGGTGAGGTGTTGCACATACTGTAGTACGTGCGCAGAATGCCAGTCTCGGTCAGTCGGTAAGTAGGCAGTCAAGCAGGCGGACAGGCAGGCAGGTCGGTAGGTGGGTAGGTAGGTGCGAACGGGTTGGGACTTGCTTGCAGTCTTCTTTTCGCATGGCTTCGGTGTCGTTTTGGTGTGTAGGGTTGTTGTTGTTGTTGTTGTTCTGCGGAAGTCTGGCTGGGGATCAAGGTGCTGACTTCCAACTGCCCAACCTCCTTCACCGCCCATGTGGTGGGCTCCGGACGGCCCGGAAAGCATGTTGAATCCTGGGTGTTTCAGTGCGGTTTGGGGCCCATTAGCGTTCGAGGCCCAGGTTTCTTGGAGCTGTCGGAGCGGTTTCGTGAATAGTGTCACGAGGCATATTCAGGTTCTCATGTAGAGCAACGACCTCCGACTGCCTATATTCCCTAAACCCTAAACCCTAAACCCTAAACCCTAAACCCTACTTACTCCGACTGCCTATTCCAAACGCCCATGGACTTCCGCACTTCCCGCTTTGCCTTGGGGCCGTTTTTTGAGCAGTTGGTACCACCTGGGGGTTTCCGAAAATAAGGGGTTTAGGGTCTAGGGTTTCAGGGTTTAGGGTTTATAAGGGGTACCTTATTTCGGGCTCCTTAGAATAAGGATCCTACTATTTCGGGGTACTATATTAGGGTCCCCTATTTCCGGAAACCCGCACCTTCCTTCCAAGTTTTGGACATCCTTTTTTGTTGTTCAGACTTGTGGCATCTTTCGGCTCGGGAGGATTGAAGCCGAGTTCGATCTGGGGCGTCCGGGGCTCTGGAGTAGCTGCTAGCACGCCTTCTGTCTCTCATCTCAGTTTTGGCCTTAGGGTTTAGGGTTTCGGGTTACACGGTTTAGGGTTTAGGGTTTAGGGTTTCGGGTTTAGGGTAGGGCCACCAGGTAGGGATTCACCGGGTTTTTGCATTGGCAGTGACAGGTGCGAAGCCCAAGCACCAACCGTAGAAGTAGCCGCCCTCAACCCCGAACCCTACCTGTAATGTACACCGGAAGTACCATGAACCTCAGGGTCTTGAGCCGTCGTCTTCTCAAACCGAAGCCTTGTACCCACCAGGAGCTGAGCTGGGCAGCTGAGGGTGCCCAAAGTGACACCCGCGATCCGGAAGTTTGGCATTTCAGCGCTGGCGGCTCTGGGTCGGTTCCGTTTCGCAGCTCCGTCTTTGCGCAAAAGCCGTTCTGCATTCACTCCCACAACCAGACATGAAGCCAGACCGCATGCAGTCATGAGTACGATATGCCGGTGCGGGTTTCAGAAGGGGCTCACGACTGCAACGGGTAACAGGCTCGCAAGGCTTGTGGATCCTAGGACGCCTGAGGGCTTCTGGGTGGGTTCGGGGTTGGGCTAGGGTTGAGGGCAGGATTTAATGTTGATAGTAGGGTTTCGGGTTTGAGTTGATAGTAGGGTCTAAGGTTGACAGAAGGGTTTAGGGTTGATAGTAGTTTTTAAGGCCTACAGTAGGGTTTAGGGTTTATGGTTGGGGGGGAGTTGGGCCTGTAAGCCGCACGGACCTGTGCGCGGAGAATGTGGCCATCTTTCTGCAGAAACCCTCAAGGATTGATCGTTTAACCCTAAATAGGAGTTTCCGAAATAATGGGTACCTTGTTTTGGAGTCCTTATAATAAGGATCCTACTATTTCGGGTGCTATATTAGGGTCCCCTATTTTCGGAAACCCCCAAATCGCATGAAACAACACTCCCAAGTCTTAAGCCCTGCCCTACAGACTTCTACAAAACCCCGAAGCTCTCGGTAGGGACCCGGCTCTTTCGCTTCGAGAGCCCCGGAGGAGTGCGGCCCTCGATCCCATTTGAGTTCAGGGCCCAACTAAGCCCTAAACCCCCTAGGCCCCTAAACCCCTAAACTCTTTAAACCCCTGAACCCTAAACTCTTGCGAGTTGAGGGTTGGACCTCAGAATCTAGTGTTTTTGGCATTAGGGCGTTTGTAAGGCTGAGTAGGCATGAAGGCTTAGGGTAGAGGCTTTAGGTTTTGCATTTCAGGGTTTGGTCCAGGGTTAGACGTTTCAGGTGCTATGGCTTCACAGTCTTTTTTGGCGTGTGTTTTAGCAACGGGTTTCGTTCTTTTAAGGGCTTTAGGGTCTGAGGTTTCAAGGTCCGGGCTCACTGCTGGAGAGCTATGCTGCATGCACCTGTATTGCACCAAATACCCCTAACCATCGTGATGGTGGTGTATTGTGGCTGTGGATTCTGCCGGCTTTTGTCCATGGGCGGTACGACTGCCTTTAGCATAATTTGCTACGACTGGTCGCGCCATCAGTAGCAACAACATGTGCAAATTCGATCTGCTTGTCATCGCGGTAAGAACATGATGTTATAAACTGAAAGAAGTGGAAGGAACAGGAGAAGCAGCGAGAGTAGGAGCAGAAGTGGGGGTGGTAGTATATAGACTTAGAAGCAGGAGGGAGTCAGTAGAGGACAACTGCGTAACATTTACTGGTTTTGCAATAGTGAAAAGGCAGTATTCGCAAAACCAAGCTAGATCCTTGAGAAACCCAAATCCTTGCATGCAAATGCCTATGTTTTGCTGTGCAGGGATAGATCTTTGGGGTTTAGGGCTCTACCCTACACCCCTAGACCCTAAACCCCTAAAGCCCCTTATAACCCGCTAAACCCCTAAACCCCTAATCCTAAACCCCCAAAACCCAAAACCCAAAACCCTAAACCCTAAACCCTAAACCCTAAACCCTAAACCCTAAACCCTAAACCCTAAACCAAACTCTAAACCCGAATCTTCGAAAGCCAGAGAGGCCCGTCGACAGAGCGCCGCAGCATGCGCTTCGCCGGCCTTCCAGATCGAAGCTGGGCTTCGGCGAGGTGCGCCTTGGGTTTAGGGTTTAGGGTTTTAGGGTTTAGGGTTTAGGGTTTAGGGTCTACTTGGGACTTTCCGAAAATTAGGGTACCTTATTTTGGGGTCCTTATAATCAGGATCCTATTATTCAGGGTGCTATATTAGGGTCCCCTTTTCGGAAACTCCTACTTCTGAAACAAAGACTAATGCTCATACTAACACGAATGCGAATGTTTATACGAATGCTAACTATAAGACTATATTAGCACTAGTACTGATACGGATGCGAATATACATCCATTTCTGTATATTATGTATATATGTATATATGATATATGTATATATGCATATGCATATGCATATGTATATGCATATGTATATGTGTATGTATATACGTATATATATATATATGTATATGTAAATATCATATCTCTATGTGTATATATATATATATGTATGTATATGTTTACGTATGTACGTAGGTATGCATGGAGGTATGTAGGTATGTAGGTGTGTAGGTATGTAGGTATGCAGGCATGTATGTATGTATGTATGTATGTATGTATGTATGTATGTATGTCTGTATGTCTGTATGTCTGTATGTCTGTAGGTCTGTATGTCTGT